AAAAAAAAAAAAAAAATCAAGCTATAATGTTAGAAGTTAGGATAGCTGTTACCATTGAGGGATGTGGTGACTGGGAGAAGGTGTAAGGGTGTCTTCCGAGGTATTGATAATTTTCTATTTCACAATTTGAGTGCAGATTACACGGGCATGTTCACTTTGTGAAAATTCACTGCTATATATTCACTTATGATTTATCTACTTTTTACATAAGGCTCACTTAAAAATGGTTTCACATTGACTTATCAAATAGCATTCTTGTTTTAGTTTAACTCACACAGTTAATAGCTTTCTTTTTCCACGTTCATTATGGTTTATTCCCCCTAACTTCACCTTAGTCTAGTTATATGACAAAGCCCCTTTTACTAAATAGAAGTCTAAACCTCTACCTGATACAAATGGCATATAAGAAAATCATGCTTATACCTTATAGTATGAGGAGGATCATGAGGCATAGTCACTTATTAATTATGGCAGCCCTTCATCAGTATCTGGTAAAAAGATTTCTTTCACCTAGAATGGAAAGGAATAGAGGTGAGAGTGACTGTTAAACAGGTAACAAAGCCAAAAGTCAAATGACAAAGGGACCAAAAGAAATTGTGTGTATGGTAGTTTTATGTATGACAGATCCTGAATATGCTCTATGAATATGGAATCACCAGTGTCAGAGCTGAAAGAGACTACAAAGATTATTCTCACTCTCCCAACCAGATTTTAAATGGAAAAACTTGATTAGCTGAAAGGCTTAAAATGTTTCAGCTTGCTTGCTTTGATGTGAAGGTTTCTGTGCTGCATAAAATTAAAAGCGCATTTGGCTAAATATTTGTTACATTCAGCAAACAAACAGGATAGGCAAGGCAAGTAAACAAGGTTGTATAATTAAGTTGCAGCTCTATGTGCTTCCTATAGCAGCAAGAATGATTAAAACATCTTTTCTCATGAAGAAACCTACAGATCATTTTCAGATTTGGCTTTGGTGCCACATATCTTGATCTTATTTGAAATACAAATCTACAAAATTCACATTTTCTATAAAATAATAATTTAGAGCAGTAGTCCCCAACCACGGCCTGTTAGAAACCAGGTCACACAGCAGGAGGTGAGTGGTAGGTGAGCGCTCCCATCGCTGGTATTACCACCTGAGCTCTGCCACCTATCAGATCAGCAGGGCATTAGATTGTCATAGGAGTGCAACCCCTATTGCAAACTGTGCATGCAAGGGATCTAGGTTGTGCACTCGCTATGAGAATGTAATACCTGATGATCTGTGACTGTCTCCTGTTACCCCAAGATAGAACCGCCTAGTTGCACGAAAACAAGCTTAGGGCTCCCACTGATTCTACATTATGGTTAGTTATATAATTATTTCTTTATATATATAACATAGAATGTAATAAGAATAGAAATAAAGTGCACAATAAATGTAATGTGCTTGAATCATCCTGAAACTTTCCCCACCTTGGTCCATGGTTTTGTCTTCCACAAAACTGGACCCTGATGCCAAAAAGTTTGGGGATCACTGGTTTAGAGTATGTAAGGGGTAGTAATGAGGCAAGAAAATGAAAGACTTTAAAATCTACATCTTTAATATATCAAGTAGCAAGAACAATATTTTTATTTGTGATAACTTAAATAATATTTATAATGATTTTATGGGCACCTATATCTATACTTGTACATTAAAGTATTTTTGAAAAGGAAAGTCATATATATAACAAAAATAATGTATAAAAACATAATAGAGGACCAAATACATCTTGGGCCACAATTTTACCACTTCTAAATTCTTATTTCAAAAAATAATAAAGATAATTTAACTCACTACTGTTTACTAAAATGTCCTAGTCAACTTGCTGTAGCATAGTAAAGCTAGGCTGCCACCATGCTACCTTACACTCAGGGATTTTAAAAGGCAACAAATATTTAAAACACTTAAAAGACAACCTTTTCTTTTGAAATTTTATATTTTTTTAGAATACAAAAGAAGAAAACAAAGAGTTTTATTTTTCTGCTTGCTGAAAGTATTTGAGTAAACTTAGCTTTAAGATGGGTCTTCTTTCAAAGATTTTAATATTTTTGAAAGGGTACAGATAAACTTTGATAACAGATTTGATCAACTTCATTTTGCTTAGTTTTGAAGTGATTTATCTCAGATTTCCTTTAGAAATGTTTCTTCCAAATTTTCTAATCATGCTTGGATCTATTTTACAGATGTTTCTTTTATGTTCTAGAGAAGAAATAAAAAGACACATAAATATGGTAAAAGTATCATTCAAAAAGTTTTCATCATTCCACTTTTCAAAATTACAGCCACAGGAAGGAAAATTTACTCTTGAAATTCATAGTTGTTAATTAACATAATTTAAAATATAATGACAACAAAGGGGCATTAATATCTTTGCTTTAAAAGCTGTTCAAATTCATATTGCAAAGTGAAGTTTCAGTGAGTGCATGCACATACACACACAGACATCAGGTGAAGTAGTTGAATTAACTCTTATGTTCACTTTCTTTCCTTCTGACTAATAAAAGGCAATTTCTATAAGCATTTCTTCCCTTTCTAAGTTGTATCACCATTTTTTCCCCCATTCCTTGGTTTATTTCCCCAGGGATTTAAAGTTCCATATTTTTCAGATTTAAAATTATCATTTGCATCTAATACTTCCTAAAGGACTGCTCTTAATCCCATAGCTCTTTTTTCCTTTACTGCCATCTCTCAAATGTGTTCTCTTCATGCCCATTCTTCTGGTTCTTCATTAGCTTTCACCACCATTCTTTGTTCAACAAAGTTTTGTTACAACAGGGTGCCACTGATTTTTCTCAGCATCAGTTTAATTGCTTATCCACTTTCTTGGTCATATTAGGTTTTAGCTTTAGAGTCACATATTCACTTAAGACTGTTTCTTATTTATCTCGCTGCTCAGTTAATAGGAGTTGCCTTTCCCCCTACTGATCATCCTATGTTTCTTTACTTGTACATCGTTAGTTAGAACACTTGGTTGAATACATTCTAAGGAAGACAGTCTCAATTCTCACTTTTTTCTGACGTGCATTTGGGCATTTTCACTTGAATATTACAATGTATATTAAATATTATCTTTCCTTATAAACTAATACCTCTTTCTAAGTGTTACATTATCCTTAACAACATGTAATCTTTTAAACTTGGGTTAGCTCTCGTTTCTTCTTTGGCAAGCACTGTGATTTAGCATCATCTCCCACTTTTTTTTCCCCCATAGTAGATATTTTTACTCACATCTCTTTATACTTGAAATATATGATGCATTTGTATCTTCAGATAATAAGCATATTAGAAAAGCCCAATTTCTATGATTTGAGAGTTTTTATAAATTTATTATTTGGCTACAGAATTATGATTCTTGAAGGACTTTTTCAGAAGATCAATGGGGCAGTACACATCTACACTAACTACAGATACACGTTGTTAAGCATTATTAAATACAACATGTCAAACCAAATAATCAAGGTAAATTTTATACTTTAGTACCTTACTATCTGATGTTTCAATTTGCATGAGGATTATTTCCACTAAAGTTAAGGTAAACACTAGCTACTAAAGGAAGCAGCATTTACCAATACAGCTTGACGAAGTTACTGAAAAATTTTATATTACTCTAATCAAAGGGCATTGACAGAAAAAAAGTAACAATAGCTTTTATGTCATTCTTAGAAACATTATATCATCAAGCACCTTTAAATTGCATCTGCTATAATAAGTTCCTATAGAGAACAATCAAACTAGGTCTTATTGATCTTTATATTCATCAAAGGACATGGTAAATGCTTAGTAAATAGTTTCTGAATGAAGTCTTAGGAACTGTAGTGTCAAAGAGATAGATATCTAGACATTGGGGCCTATAAACTGGCTGGCATAATATAGCTCTAGTTTAACTTAAGTGGTTTTGTTACCATGAACTCATGTCACTCCCATATGCAGTTGATGGCCTGTAGTATCTTTTATATTGATAGGAAAGATCCATCAGTATCTTTTCCAACAGCCAATGAGAGTTACAATATGATTGTAACTAGACACAGACTGGAACCCGTGTAGTAGTTACACAATGAGTTAGAGGCCAAATTATTTAAAATATTACACTAAGAGAAAAATTTAAAGTGGGTATAGTTTATCTGTAAAATATACTTAATTAGTAACATTAGATAATACATTTAGCCAGTAATTTCAATTATTAGGAGGCAGGAGGGATAACTAAAAGGGTACAGAATGTAGAGTTGAAAGATCTGGTTCTGAGTTTGGCTCCACCAATATAATATCTGTGTGATTTTGGGTAAATGCTTTAAATTTTGTGTTTTAAAGTTTCCTTATCTATAACATGTGGATAATCATACTTGTTCTACCACATAATAAAGGCGACAGGTAAAAAGAGATTCTTATGAAAACACAATAAAAAACGTAAAGTACTATATGATTGTCAACAGTCATGCCATTAAATATCAAATTAAAAGCAGACACATACCCATTCTTGGTCTGTTTTCTTGTAAGTGCTTATCACTTGAATTCTCTTGTCGAACACGTTTGGCAAATCCAGAATTTACGTCTGCAGTTAACAAAGTGTTTGATGTAGAGCTTGAGGGGAAAAAATTTTAATTTAGTTAAGCATTATTTTATACCTTAAAATTCAAACTCATATTCCACATGCAACAGTTGTGAAATCTCACAGAAGTAGAGGTACTAAATATACTTTTTGCCCACAGAGAAATTTAGTGGTGTGTGATTTTAAAATGAATATTTAACATATTTATTCAAATTGAATGTTATGATTGTAGGTGTATGTTACAATTCTGCAGAATATTCCAGGGTGCTTTGCTGGCAGATAAGCAAGCACTAATATTCAAAATGTAGAGATCAGTAGCACATAGTCACAAGAGGTAAAAAAAAAAAACTAAGCTCATGTTACAAATTTGGACCAAGAACTCTAATCCGAAAGGCATAAAAACGTGAGATTGTTTGAAAAACCTTGTTTTAAAATGAAAGCAGAGTAACAGAATAAAAATCTCTAATTATTACAATCATAGAAACTGAAATAAAAAGAATGACCTGTTTTCATTTGCTCTAGCTTCAAAATTTAATCAGTCTTATACTGCTAATGGTTCAAATTTCCAACTCAATTTCAGTTGACATATTAGTAAACACCTATTATGGCCTTGTGTTACAGGATATACAAATAAATAAGGCACACAAATCCCTGTCCTAAAAATTTGTACAACGGACATACAGTGGAGTGAGAAAAAATAAGACAAATACATGAAATAATATAAGATAAAGTAAAAATATACCGCCAAAGTTTTCATAATACAAAGAGCTATAGATTCCTGAGTGTAGAGTAAGAAAGAAAAATGGGGAATTTTGTGGATGCAATGAGTTTGATCTGGACCTTGAAAAACTGCTATCCTTCCTAGTCCTAAAGAGGATCAATTTTTAACAGGCAGGATTGGGGGTTGGGTGGAAAATGAACATCCTTCAGCACTGATTCAAATAAGCTAACTTTAGGGAAATTCTGGCTAATAATAAAGATACTATATAGTAATCGCCCTTATCCATGTTGGGGAGATCTCCTAAGATTGCCAGTGGACGCCTGCAGCCAAGGATAGTACCAAACCCGATATATACTATGTACTCTCCTTCAATAAGGTTTAATTTATAAATTAGACACAGTAAGAGATTAACAATAACTAATAATAAAATAGAGCAATTATAACAATATATTATGATAAGATCATGTGAATCTGGTTGTTCTCTCTCTTAAAATATCTTATTGTACTATAATCACCTATTTTTAAACTGCATTTGACTATGGGTAACTGAAATAACAGAAAGCAAAACCTGAATAAGGGGGGGGGTGACTACTCAGTGGAAGTAATGAAAAAGACACAATTTAAGAAGATATAATCACAACTTGTAAGTACAAATAATATATCAACTACAGTAGTCCCCACTTCCTAAATGGTGACAAATAAATTACTATGATTCTGTTTTGAATATTAAATACCCTTCTTATTTGTCTATATCAGCTGTCCAAGGCAGAAATTCTTTATTTATCATTTGGAGATTTTATTTTTTCAAATATAAAGATCAATGTTATTACTTTTGATAAAACATTGTTTCTTAAATTTATCTCAAAGTTTTCTTTATTATTTTATGGTATGATTATTCACTTTGGTTAGTTCCAGGACCCTACTTTTTACTCATAGCGTGTTCTTACTTAAAAATTAGGCTTTTGTATAAAGCTATTTGATTAGAACTCATGTTTCTAGAAATCAAACCCAACCCTAATAAGTTGCATATTTATATGTAAGTAAAATATACCCAAACCTTTTTTCAATTTAGATTAAATAGTCCACGGATCAAATGTTTAACATTTATGTTGTAGGTCATAAACTACAAAGACTTAAAAATGGTATGAGTGCAAATTCAAATTATGTTAAAGTCTATGAGAAATCCAAAGACATTTCCAGTTGTGTGTCAAATATATTTCCAAAATAAAGTTAAGAATTAACCTTTTGCTCCCTTATATAGGTAGACTGTTTCTGCTCAATAAAAATAATACCTCTTACACTCTTTTGTCTGAAAAAATTTCTAGTTGAAATAATTAGACATCTTTGAAAACAAAATAAAAATGTATGGCAAGTATGAAACAGTTTTTGGTGCTTGGAAAACTGTGGAACAAACAAAAAACCAATCAACCAAATAAATATGATACAAACAATCCAAAACTTTGATGAATATAATTAAGAAGTAAAAGCAAACATTATGTATGTATTATATTTATAGAATTGATAGGCTAATCCATTTAGTAAAACAGTCTGCTACAGAAATATTAAATAAATTGTTAAGATTAAAAATCTAATGTTCTTAATTATTTTAAAAAATCTGTTGGGTAGGTTTTGGAATATCCAGTGCTTTTAAACTCTAAAAGTATTTTATACAAAATAAAAAAAATGCTTATGTATAGAGCTTCCCCTTCTTTATTTTTAAAATTATATTAGAATATATATACAACTAAATAAGCATATAAAGTTGCTAAATGGAAAATACCACAGTTTATTACTCTGAAGCTCATGTAACTTTAATTGGGGAAAAGGAAGATTAAAAAAAAGCAATTATGTACATTTCTAGCATTAATCTCTTTTAACCTTAGCTAATGGCAGGATCTGATTACTGGTACCAGAGGGAATGTAATAGAACAATTAATAGGCTATAAGAAATCAAGTTACTTTCTTTACAGGTCCTTCAATATTATTTCACAATATTTGTTGTTCATGTGGAAGTCCTTTAACTTATCTAAAAGAACTCCAAATACACAATTCACATACCTGGACATTTTGTGAAAAACCATTTGATTTGATAATAGCTAAGTTCACATTAAAAAAATTATTCTTTTCTATAAATGTTTGCCACATCTTAGTAAACATAACATACTACCAGCGAAGTACAAAAAAACTCACTAAAATTAATAATGGAACAAATTATAAAACTGACACTATGTAAATTAGTGATAAAAGTAGATGAAACAAATGATTGTGGTTTGCCTGGTTCACTCATAAAGTGACTGACTTCTGTATACAAACCAGACTAACTGTACAACTAAAATTTTTACCTCAGCAAATATAAAATTTTAAATGTCATAGAGACATTTAGGGAAAATCCATAAATTTTAAATTTACACATTCCAAGGCTCTGCTATACTTTTTTTTTAGGAGGGACAAAGACATAATAAATTTACTTATGAGAAGATACTCTATTAAGGACAAATAAGTAGGCTATTTGTAAATTAGTTTCCTGTTGCTTAAATGATAACAGGTTCCTAATGGAAAATACATTTAAAAAGTCATTTTAAGGTCATCTATAAACGTTTCTCCCCATAATCACATAGCAAAGAAAAAGAGGTAGAGGAAGTCACATCTATTTTATATTTATTCAGTATATTTTCTCATTGCATTCAATTTATAGGACATAAAGAAAGTATCATGAACTTCAAGTCATATAACTCAGTGTATTTAAGATTTTCCCTTATCTTTAGTTTTTAGTTGTTTTACTACTATATACCTAGGCATGTTTCTCTTTATTAATCCTGCTTGTGGTTTGCAGTGCTTCTCAAATCTGTGGTTTAATGTCTTTTGTTAGTTTTGGAAAATTATTAGCCATCATCTGAAATATTATTTTTCCCTATTCTTTCTCTCATTCCCTTCTGAGACACAAAATACAAAAATGTAGACTTTTAAAAAGTGTGTTCCATGTCTCTTCCACTTCTTTCCATCTTTTTATCCTTCTGCACATCAGTTTGAATATTTTCCTACCAGTCTATCTTTCAGAAAAAAATCCCAAAATGTGAACTGATAAATAACAAGCAACAAAATTAAAGTTGTAAATAAAAAGTCTCCCAGCAAAGAAAAGCTCAGAATTTGACGGCTGCTGATTTTTACCAAACATTTAAAGAAGAACCAATACCAATCCTACTCAAACTATTCTGGACAACAGAGGAGGAAGGAATAATTCCAAAATCCTTACATGAGGCCAGTATTACTCTGATACCAAAACCAGACATGGAGACATCAAAATAAGAAAATTCCAGGCCAATATCCCTGATGACCACATGCAAAAATCCTCAACAAAATACTAGCAAACTGAATCAAGTAACAAATCCAAGAGATCATTCATCATGACCAAGTGGGATTTATCTCAGGGATGTAAGATGGTTCAACATATGCAAATTAACCAACGTGATACATCATATGAATAGAATGAAGAACAAAAATCATATGATCACTTCAGTTGATGCTAAAAAAGCATTTAATACAATTCAGCATCCCTTTATGATAAAAACTCTCAAAAACTGGGCATAGAAGGAACATATCTTAACACAATAAAAGCCATATGTGACAGACCCACAGCTAGTACTATCCTGAATGCAGAAAATCTGAAATCCTTTTCTCCAAGATGTGGAACATGACAAAGATGCCCACTTTCACCAGTATTATTTAACATAGTACTGGAAGTCCTAGGTAGAGCAATCAGACAAGAGAAAGAAAAAAAGAGCATCCAAATTGGAAAGCAAGAAGTTAAATTATCCTTGTTTGCAGATGACATGATCTTATTATATTTTTGGAAAAACCTAAGACTCCACCAAAAAACTATGAGAATAGAAACAAATTCAGCAGAGTTGCGGAATACAAAATCAACATACAAAAATTAGTAGCATTTTTATATAGAGTGAAATAATTTGAAAAAAAAATTCCTTTTACAAAGCTAAAAATAAAATAACTAGGTGTTAACCAAAGAAATAAAAGATTTCTATAATGAAATCTATAAAACATTGATGTAAGAAATTGAAGAGGATACAAAATAAAATAGATTTCATGTTCACAGATTGAGAGAATCAATATTGTTAAATTGTCCATACTACTCAAAGTGGTCTACAGAATCAGTGCAATCCCTATCAAAATCCCAGTGACATTCTTCACAGAAATAGAAAAACAATCTTAAAATTTATATGGAACCACAAAGGACCCAGAATAGCCAAAGCTATCCTGAGAAAAATGAACAAAACTGGAGGAATCACATTACCTGACTTCAAATTACATTACAGAGCTGTTTTGTGACCAAAACAGCATGGGACTGGCATAAAACCAGACACAAAGACCAGTGGAACAGAATAGAGAGCCCCAAAATAAATCCACGCATTTACAATAAACTCATTTTTTACAAAGTTGCCAAGAACATACATTGGGGAAAAGACAGTCTCTTTAATAAATGGTGCTGGGAAAACTGTTTATCCATATGTAGAAGAATAAAGATAGACCCCTATCTCTTGCCCTATACAGAAATCAAATCAAAAGGGATAAAAACTGAAATCTAAGATTTCAAACTATGAAACCACTAAAAGAAAACACTGGGGAGACTCTCCAGGACACTGGACTGGACAAAGATTTCTTGAGTAATACCCCACACAGGCAACCAAAGCAAAAATGGATAAATGGGATGACATCAAGTTAAAAAGCTTCTGTAAGGCAAAGGAAACAATTGATAAAGTGAAGAGACAATCCACAGAATGAGAGAAAATCTTATAAACTATCTGTCTGACAAGAGATTAATAACCATGATACATAAGGAGCTCAAATAACTCTAGGAAAAAACTCTAATGATCTGATTTAAAAAATGGGCAAAAGAATAGACATTTCTCAAAAGAAGACATACAAATGGCAAACAGGCATATGAAAAGGAACTCAACATCACTGATTATCAGAAAGATGTAAATCAAAACTATAATGAGATATCATCTCACCCCAGTTAAAATGGCTTTTATCCAAAAGATAGTCAACAGCAAACACTGGCGAGGATGTGGAGAAAAGGGAACATTTGTATACTGTTCGTGGTGACATAAATTGGTACCACTAAAAAGAAAAGTTTAAAGATTCCTCAAAAAACTAAAACAGAAAATCAAACACCACATGTTCTCACTCATAGGCGGGTGTTGACCAATGAGAACACATGGACACAGGGAGGGGAGCATCACCCACTGGGGTCTGTTGGAGGGAAATAGGGGAGGGACAGCGGGGGGTGGGGAGTTGGTGAGAGACAGCATGGGGAGAAATGCCAGATATAGGTGAAGGGGAGGAAGGGAGCAAATCACGCTGCCATGTGTGTACCTATGCAGCAATCTTGCATGTTCTTCACATGTACCCCAAAACCTAAAATGCAAAACAAACAAACAAAAAACTAAAAATAGAGCTACCATACAATTCAGCAATCCCCCTGGTAGATATATACAAAAATGAAACAAAATCAGTACAATGAAGAGATAACTGCAGTACCATGTTTATTGCAGCACTATTCACAATAGCCAGGATTTGGAAGCAACCTAAGTGCTCATCAACAGATAAATAAAGAAAATATGGTATGTATACACAATTAAGTACTATTCAGCTGTGAAACAAAAATGAGACCTGGTCATTTGCAACAACATGGAAGGAACTGGTGGTAATTATGTTGAGTGAAATAAGCCACGTACAGAAAGACAAACTTGGCATGTTCTCACTCATTTTGGGGAAGTTAAAAATTAAATAAATTGAACTCATGGAGATAGAGAGTAGAATGATAGTTACCAGAGTCTTAGAAAGGGTTTTTCGGGAGACTGGGGAGGATGGTTACTGTGATGGTTTTGGGAGACTGGGGAGATGGTTAATTAAGCAATCTAATGAATAATATCTAGTATTTGGTAGCACAACAGCGTGACTAGAGTCAACAATAATGTATTGTACATTTAAAAAATAACTAAGAGTATAATTAGATTGTTTATAACACAAAGGATAAATCTTTGAGGTGATAGATACTACATTTACACTGATGTGATTATTACACATTGTATGCTTTTATCAAAATATCTCATGCACGCCATAATACATATACCTACTATGTACCTACAAATATTAAAAATAAAAAATTAAAAACAAATTATCTTTCAGTTCACTAGTACTCTCTTCTGCTGTACCTAATCTGCTGAATTGATTTATTGAGTTCTTAATCTCAGTAAATTCTATATTTTCAGTTCTAGAATATCCATTTGATTAATTTTAAGAGAATCTCGTTCTTTGGGAAAGTATGTATTTGTTGAAATTATTACAGTTAAAATTTTAAATTCCTATCTGACAATCCCAGTATCTGCCTCACGTATGAATCACTGCTCCTATGATGTTTTTTTCTCTTAAATTTTATTCATTTGGTCTTGTCTTCTGGCATACTTCGTAATTTTTTTTAAGTGTGAAACATTGATATTAAAAAAACTATAGAGGTTCCAGATGGTATATTCTTCCAGAGATAATTTAATTTTCCTGTGGCAAGCAGAGCAAAGATAAATCACCTTGATCCAATCAAGAATTGAGTTGGTCTAAGGTCTGTTTCAGATTTCCAAGAACTGGCCTATTTCTAGTTTGCCCTACTCCTAGTTGAAACACCCTTCAGTGAACTCAAAATCCTGAGGTGTTTAACAAGGCCTCTTCTTTAGGGTAGTCCCTGAACTCCAATTTTTCTGTGAAAGACTCATAAGAATGTCAAAACTCTGCTTAACACTTTAGCTTCTTAGCAGCTACTTTCAGCTTGGTGTCTTAGCCTTGCATTCCACAAAGCTGAGAACTTGGCAAATGCCTTGAGGATAAAAACTGCACAGAACAATTTTGTTTCCCTAGCTCAGTAACACGGCTGATAGCTCTAAGTTTCCACTTTCTGTTTGGCCTCTATGCCTTATGCCATAAATTGGCAAATGCCAAATTAAAAAAAAGAGGCAGACAAAGTTTGGCTGTCTATACCATGTTTCCTTTTTCTCTGGGATCTTAGGCTCTCAATCCTGGCTACCATGGTTGTTCTCCATTGCCTTCAAGCAGCTGTTGGTTCTATTTTACGTACTCCTTATAATTGTTCTTGATGAGCAACTTGGTCTGATACAAGCTAAATTGTCTTAGGCAGAAGTAAAGTCTCTTCATTCATTATATATTAGTCATATATCATAATCCATTAAAATAACATAATTCTAAGATGGAAGAAAATTGGTAATGTTTAGAAAGGATAATAACCAAATAAGTAAAAATTGTCACCCCAGAAAAGTTAAAATTAAGTAGTTTTTGAAAGCTAGAAAATTTATTTGTAAAGCTCAAAAATATGAAATACTTTATAGAAATATCAAGTGAAATACTTGAGTTTTTCAAGATCTCCCTTTGATAATATAAATCCAGTACCCCATTCAGAGCAATTTATCCTAAGTATGCTTAAATATAAATTGAGTCTAATTACAAAAAACAAAAAAGCAACAGAAAACAACATATAAAGATGATCTTATGTAACTATAGAAACCCAACCAGTTTATGTTTAATCATACCTTGCTAATTTCCGTTTCCTTTTGGCAGCAGTAGTCATTGCCATGTAGGATGGCACCATGCTTCGTATAGGCATAGAATGCTTAGATGAGAATGAAGAAGGGTCAAGCCTGTATATTACGGTGACAAATAAAATATAATATTTTGATTTAAACTATGAAGAAAAAAGGAAGCAAACATTTCCATAATTAGAAAACTATTTGGTATTAATATATAAAGAAAAACATTCTGCTATACCATAAAGATTTTCTTACTTGACTGGGGTTTTCTTTTCTCTTTTTAATATACGTAAAGTTGCTATCAAGAGATTTCTTCATTCCCAGTTGCATACAATAGTGAAGGTATTTTTCTTTCCATATTTAGATTGGGCATGATTATACAGATAAAGTGAGAAGGAAGGATATGTTTGCTTGGATGACACACATTCAACCATACTTTAGCGGTATGACTATTTCAGAGTAAAATAAGTTTTTAATAGAAAGTGTGGAATTTGCTTCAGTGAAAATATTAATAAACAATAAACATAATAATCCTCCAAAGACAGCTTTTATAATCCAATTTCAGGGTAAGAGAACAAACTAAATATATCTTAAGGTCTCTCCTAGTCTAATGAGGGTCAATTGACTTAAGGTATCAAATTTAAGACTTTAAAATATTGTGTTAGTGAGTTAATATTCAGAGAGAAACATAATTAAAATTTAATGAAAGTAAAACAGACTGTTTTATAATCAAAATAGCACACATGGTTTATGAAATAATCTCAACTAATAGTTGAAAGTCTACATTAAAAAAAAAAGAATTGGCAAATTTTTTTTGTACCGTTGTAAAATGTTTTTGTCATTTAGTAGTGATTCTTGTTCAGGTAATTTACACTTCAAGCTCTTGGTGTCTTCACATATAGTAAATGTAGAGTCCAAGACCTCCTGCTGACATTCTTCTCTTGTGTTATGAGAGATAGCTACTTCACACAACATTTTCAGAGAATTATCACTGTTTATGTTCGAGCTGATAGCCTGAAAACTTGTAGTAAATGATGATGGTTTTATTAAAGTTACTGTAGATGGATTTTGAAAAGTTTTTCTACAGTCTTCTGGTGTATACACAATAGGCTGAAGTTCTTTGCAAAGAGAATCATTGAGCTGAACACTTTCAGATGATGGAGATTTTAGAGTATGCTGTCCTTTCAAGGGAGATGGCATTAGTTTTCTCCGAGTTCTTTTTTGTGGAGGAATCTTAAGCATATTAGATTCACTTGAAGATGTGCCTGTTCAAAAACAAAAAATAAAGACAATAATGTTTCCTAAATAGTTTTTTAAAAATAACTCCATTAGTTTTAAAACTTAGAAACCTTAATAATGTTATTTTTATGCCAATTGATAAAAATCTGAAAAATATAAGTTGGAAAGGAAAAATATCATGGTTAACTACTAAAAACTTTAAAGTTGATAAACTCAGTATAAAGAAATTCTATAACATAAAATAAATACATTGCTAATGTCAATATTAATTTATAGGCATAACTTTCTTGAGATATTGGGTAATTAGGGAACAAATTTCCAATCAATTCCAACAAAATTCATAATTTCTAGCTTGCATGTTTGATTTGGGTTTAAGATGAAAATAGTGTTAAACTTTTAATACTGTTTTTAAAACACTTGTTCCATCGTAAAATGTTATTAGTGTATTACTTTTGTCTTGTTTTTTAGATTCGAGGGTACATGTATAGGTTTGTTATATGAGTATACTGGGTGATGCTAGGGTTTGGGTGTCAGTGATCAGTTTACTACTAATTGAGTGGAAGTCTAGTCTAAATTAACAAGAATGGAAACAACCAGTAAAATTCTGAGTGAATGAAAGGATTGTTTTTGTTAAGTGTCAGGTATACAGAGTTAACCTTCAGTAGCTGCGGATTCTGCATCTGTGGATTCAACCAACTCCACACTGGAGATATTCAGAAAACAAACCAAAAAAAATAAAATAAAAATATATAGTATAACAACCATTTTATGGTATTTGTATTGGATTATGTTTTATAAGTAATCTAGAGATGATTTAAAGTACACAGAAGGATATGTGTAGCCTATATACTATGCCATTCTATGTAAGGGACTTGAGCATTCATAGATTTTGGTATCTGGATGGGTTCCTGGAATCAACTTGCTTATCCCCAGGATACTGAGAGAAAACTGTAGTCGTTAAGCAGTCTAGTTAACTGATTTGTCTCCTATATAATACGTAACTCATAGGTTTGCAAAAATGAGATTTAATACTAAAGATAAATGAAATAATTCAGAGTTCAAGGTACTTTTACCATCATCACTCTGTAGAAGTCAATCTCCTAAATGTCAAGAGGTCACCAAGTCTGATGATCTTTCTTAGCTATATCTAATAACTTCTGTAGCTTTTCAAAATTATATCTTTACTATTCCAACATTTGTGTTATTCTCTTCTTCTTCCATCCAGTAAATGTATACATTTCCCTAAGGAGCTGTACTTGACCCTCTAGTTGTCTTGTTCCACAGTTTCTCATATTTCTAATTACACTTTTATCGTTACCTTCTCTGTCACCTGGGTTCCAAATTACTAGATTTTTGTTTTCCTTTTCCCTTGCATTTCCCAATCTCTATCAATTCTTTCTTATGCTTATAGTAAAAACATAATTTTGTTTATGTCATCCTTCTGATTAAAGACTTTGTAGTAATTTTTAAATAGAAACAAAACATGCTAATATTTTTAGGTGGGGAATTCATGGTCCTTGCTCCAAAATTAAGAAACAAATTGTTTACAATATTAGATTTAGTGTGTAATGCTTAACATTCAAAAACACAAACATCTGGTAAACACCTTTTATTAATGTCCAAAATAATAAATGACATATGTAACAATACAGTTGATCAACTTCAGTGTGATTATCTTACATTTTTCAATTAACTTTTCTCTACCTACTTCATTCTGGTGAACTTCATGGTGTCTGACGCAAAATACCTTTTTTGGAGTGTAGAGTCAATGGAAGAAACTATAACGTGTATTTCCATTCATGTTGTCTGATCATGAAGTAAAATTCCCAGTTGACTTTATATTTACTTTACTACATAATACTAACTTAAAGAACATTGAAAGCAGAATAAGATAAGTGTTACTCATTTCAATAAAGCAATTCAAACTTTCAACCAAGTTAGAAAATACACTTAAAGCAATTAGCAACAGTACAGGTATTATTCTTATTATATTACTTGACAATATGCTCTGCTATGACTAGGTTGATAATTACCCTCTAGGAAATAAAATTTAAAAACAGAAGAAAAATATGATCCCTGTTCTATTAAGGAATTTTACTTTTCTGAGAACTAGATAAATGAGATCCAGATCTTAAAATGATTTTCCACTCCCTTTAACATGACATTTGTCAAATTTTCCACTACCAGATATTTTTATACTAATACTACAGTGTAAAGACAGTTACTTTTCTCCACTGTGCTGCTACCACCAATTTGGTGGCTATTTATAGCTGGAAGATTAACTTCTTTTCCCACGAGAGGCAGCAGGGGTATAGAGGATAGAAAACTACATGGAGGATAGAGGACTGAATTGGGAGTCAGGAGGCTTGGATTCTATTTCTGGCTCCACCAACAGCTCACTGAGTGACCTTGGGCAACTCACTAAGCAGTGTGGGCATTAATACAACTTTTTCAGGAAAAGTTGTAATTTACTTTCCAATAATGAATAACTAACTTACTGTTATCTCTGAAACAATATATTTCATACAATGCCTCACTTTCAGTTTATCAGATATCTAGTTTGCTAAGGCTGATGATTAATATAAACCACAAGTATTATTGAAACAGGTATATATGTTATTTGCAAATGCAGAGTTTATAATAACATTTTAAACTTTAAAACACAATAGAACGTAAACTCTTAAGGGACAAGCATTATACAGAATCATTATTTTTAAAAATACATACTTAGAGGGTATAATCTCTGAGAGTGGCAACTGGGCAAATTCCCACGATGGTGGAGCACATTTTTCCTACTGCAAGTTAAGAGTCATAAAAAACACAGTCGTCCCATAGAACATTGAAGAAATATCTACCTGTCCTCTGGGATAATCTAAACATACACCAGACATCAAATTTAGTATGATCAGACTGACTAACAATTTGTCAGTAAAAGGAATAGTGATATCACAATGATGTATCTTTAGCTGTAATTTTGCTCTCCTGGCAGAATATGATAAGCTGAAGAAGTAGCACGGAGATATGGTAGTCAATGTGGATTTACACACACTCGTTTTACTGGGCCTAGAAGAAGAGATGCTACAGACACACAGCATGTATATGATATAAATCTAAAGAGTTCTTTTCATCTTCTCAACTATTAAATTCAGATAAAATAAAAGAGCAGAAGGCTGATGATCAATTCAGAACTACTTTAGGCTGATTAGTTGCTAACAAAGCTTTAGGAGCTAACCAGAGCAAAAACAAAATTTAAAGGTTTAAATAAAAATTTAAGTCAATCTTCTGTAACTATAAACATAAAAGGATAACGACCCCATTTAATGAAAACTAAAAGAATAAAAACAACTAAATTTTACTTTGAATAACATTTTTAGAATATATAAATACAATTACCTAATAAATAATTATTCTCCTTTAGCTAAGCTAGGTAATAAGGAACTTTATGTGGGTATGGCAAGTGGAGAATCTTGAGTTAGGGGATCAGAGAGTTTAACAGGCTATAAGAACTATTAGATATGTTAGGCCTATGTCTATAAAAGGGATCTGCTGTACTTTTCCATTAGAGGAAAAGGATGTACAGTAACTTTCCAGAAGAGTAAGCATGGGACAGTTGTAGTCTCCCGATTCAGCCTGGGAAAATACCACCTAACAAGATTCCATAATTCTTGTGCTTACAGAGTATAAGTGATAAAAAAAAAAAAACTTGGAGGCAGATTATAATTCCTTTAGAAATGCCCTATAAAATGAGAAAATGAATCACAAAGTTGCAGGCTGTGCCTTGCAGAACAAGAGACCATATAGATGATGATAGTCAATAAAATACCCTGGCAACATGAGTGCTACACAGAAGGGAATAGGAAATTAAAAATGCATTGTTATAAGGTACACTCTTGCAAACTAGATTAGGGAAGACTGGCAGCCACTTGGGAAGAAATCTCTCCAGGGTCTATCTAAGGAACTGCCCAGTGTATCATATACTTGAATACAAGAGGCAGTGGGTAGCAATATATATTATGGTTTCTGAGTAATTTTGCTATTTCCACAACATCTCTTGGGACTTTAACTCCTCAGCATATTATAAGTGTGCTGCATTTCTATTACCCTGAATGATTATGACCCATGGGATATAAGTGAATAGGACTTGTTGGAATTTATGTCCAAATAATAAGCATAATGTCATAATGTTTAAAAAATTTAAAGAAAAAAATCGCTACTATTATTTTAAATCCAGGATCAATGTATGTTTTATTTATGAAAAAAAAAAAGTTGTAGTCAGCTGTGGTACAAAAGCAACAATCTAAGAGAACTACACCTTCATAAAAAGAATAAACTGTCCTTCCATCTTAGTACCTACCATGCCATGCTAGGTACAGTGGCAAACAAGACAGTTAAGAATTTACATTTTTGAGGGGAGAAGGAAAATGACAATAAACAAATAAAATTAGGATGATAAATTAATTTTAAAGACAATAAAACAGAGAAATGGAATAGGTAGTGATGGGAAGTAGAAAGGATGTTTTAACTATGATGGCTAGAAAGACAATTCTAAGGATGGGATATGTGATCTGAGACTTGAATGGCTATGAAAGGAGCCAGTTCTATGAAGATCTGGGGGAAAAGGCAGAAAAAATAGCATGTGCAAAGAAAAAATAGCAAGGCAACAATGAATTTGTTGAGCTTGAGGAAAAGAGGCTAGTTTGATTGAAGTGCTGTGAGTTACAGCGACAGGTGGAATGAGAAGAGGCTACAGAGATCAAAAGGGGCAACTTATGTTAGGATTTATGGACAAGATAAGGGTTTTGATTTATTCCAAGTGCAAAGAGAAATATCCGTGGAGAGTTTCAGGTATGGATATAATGTGATCTGATTGATGTTTAAAAGGAATAATTTGCTTGCTGTGTCAAGAATGGTCAAGAGAGAAAACAGAAAAATTAGTAACAAGGCTATTGCTATAGCTTAGGCAAGAAATGACAGCTTGGATAAGAGTAGTAAGAGCAGTGATGGAGATGTGAGAAGGGTATTACAG